AGCCAGGGGGGGGGTTGGTCTTTTCCAACCTGAACAATTATATGGTTCTAATTACTGTCCTTGGGGCTTGGTAGTGCCATAGTTTGAGGCCATCCAATGGACTGGTCCTATACCTGGGAAGAGACTGGTGAAGAAGAAGGGGTGGGGAGAAGGTGCTTGATCAATAATTCATAGAATCATAGGATTGTTTTGGCTGGAAGAGTTTAAGATGATCAAGTCCCACTGTTCCCCCAGCACTGCCAGGTCCCCACTGCCCCGTGTCCCTCACCCCACATCTCCACAGCTTGGAAACCCCTCCAGGGGTGGGGACTCCACCACTGCCCTGGGCAACCCTGGCAGGGAAGAAATTCTTCCTCATGTCCAACCTCAACCTCCCCTGGGGCAACTTGAGGCCGTTTCCTCTTGTCCTGTCCCTTGTCCCTTGGGAGCAGAGCCCGACCCCCCCCTGGCTCCAGGCTCCTGTCAGGAGCTGTGCAGAGCCAGAAGGTCTCCCCTGAGCCTCCTTTGCTCCAGGCTCAGCACCCCCAGGCCAACTGCAGTTTCCTTAGCTGTTGAGGGAACTCCTGGTTTGATTCCTCACAGCCTTGTTTGTGTCTGTATGATACGGCAGCAGAATAGAAATTTTATTTCTTCATTTCCTTATTCTTCATAGCTGACTGCAAATAGCAATTTAAAAAAAAATCAGCAGTGATGGCACTAGAGGAGAAGACTAGAAGGAAAAAATTCTTGGCAAATCCTTGTAATAAGAATGAAAATGATGGAAAATCTAGAACCTAGTACAATCTTCGTGCCCAAATTCATCGTTTTGTGTGGAAGGGAGGCCACTTCTTCACAGGCTGTGGCTACTGCCTTTGGAGCACTTTGTCATTTAGAGCAGGCTTCCTGAAAACCCAGCTCATCTTTCAAGGGATCTCCCAAGTCCTTTCTAAAAAAAGCAGAAATTGGGCGACTCCAGAGCTTGTGGTTTTGGTGGTGGTGGAAGTCTCATGGGCTGCATTTCACTTTGTCTTTCTACGTGCAAGTGAGGCAGGGGTGAACCTGCACAGCATGGAGGAAAGGAGCTTTGGTTATCCTGTGGCTTGCTTACATTTCTCAATTCATTTCAGGGTTTATTTCCTTTTTAAGAAAAGGGACTTTTCTAACCCCTCCCTGCTCCCTCACCCACGTTGTAGCCCTCAGAGCACGTGAGATGCAGTAGCAGAGCACTAATGCTGCCCTGTTGCTCCTGACTGTGCTCTCCTTGCAAGCCAACCCCACTGTTCCTGGGCACGTCCACACCCCCCTGTTATTCAGAGAGCCCAAAAATGGGCTGTGAAACCCAAATCATTCCAGCTGTATCCATCAGAGCGTGTTCTCAAGTCAATGTTTTCTTCTGTATATAGTAAGACATGAACTTTTCTGTGCCTAAGTTACTCAGCAGAGGTTCTGTCTGTTTTGTGGGTGCCTCCGTGACAAGGAGGCAAAGAAATCCTTTATTTTTTTTTCAGTGAGGCTTTTTTATTTCAATCAATAGTTTCACAAGTGCTTAAACTTCCCTGGCAGTTTAATCCGGAACGTCGTTGAGAAGAAAAATATCTTCTATAACTTTACAAAAATAAAATGATTTTCTTTTTTTTTTTTTTTAAAATCCTGCACTTTAAGCAAGTACACTCCAAGTCAAGAAAGACAGACATTATATCTTAAAATATGGACTTCTAGTCATAGAAATGACATTCTACCCCAGGGCAGCAGGCACAAAATGTAAACGACCCAGAAACAGAGCAAGAACCCTTGTTTTGATGCTTCTGATCCCTTTTTGTCCTATTAAATAGAACCCATTTGCCCAAGAACTTCTTCAGGTCACCATTTCTTCTGCTCCTTGAGTAGGATGTTACTGAGGGAAAAACTTTCACCTGTCCTGGCAACATTGGCAGCCAAAGATCCCAACGTTCATTGTTTTCATTTTTATAAAGCTTCTGCCTTTTGGTGTGGAACAAATCACTCAGTTTATAGGTCTATCCACTGCTCCACTCCTTGCAGCTTAACATCTCTAGCAGCCAGGGCTGCCAGCACATGAGGTCAGGTTGGAGGCATAAACCCAATGGAATATTTTGTGTCACAGATGCCTGTGGTGCTGGGCAGCAGTTCGTTTAGTGCCTGAGGAGACCAGGAGATCAAGGGAGCTTAGCTCCTCGTTCTGTGCCTGTAACCTAGGAGGAGCCTTGCAGAGAACGTGGATTGGCAAAGAAACTGTGGCACTCTGGAGGCTGACTCAGGGCTCTGTCCAACCTGACTTGTATGGGCTAATAGGAAAATAAAGAAAATCTATAAAGGCACATGGAGGGAAGCTGGTGCAGCTCCTGCTAAGAACCCAGATCATAAAATCCTGTTTCTGGTCAAGGCTACTCCTAAACTAGAGGAATCCTCAGACAAGAGTTCTTGTAATGCATCATGAAGGCCTTTTTCAAATGCTTCCTTTTCAACTGTCTCAGGATGATAAGGATAAAAAAAACCCAAAGCTCTTATACAGCTTTGAGTCATGCTTGTAGTGAGTGTAACCAGAATCCTTGGAAAACGTGGACCTTCAGAAGCTTGTGACTCAAGAGGTAGGAACTGGACAGGTCTTTCTCTTGAACTTGTTGAGTTGTGCCAGTTGGGACTGAAGGAACAGAAGGAACAAGGTCTGGCAGCTCCTGGCTCTTGATATTTCTCCAGAGACAGGACCACCCCATGTAGGAATGGCCAACGGTGGTGGCAGAAGGTTGTCTTGGGTGATCTGAGGAACATCATGCCATACCCATCTTCATCAGTCAGACCTGACAGGAATTCACTCATGCTGCTAGGCCTCAAACAGGAGTCAGAAGCAAAGCTAGTGCTTAAGGGGCTTGTTTGGCTGTAATAACTCAGTTAGTTGGAGACATGCTGGTGCCCCTTTGCTGGACACCATGGATTTGTCATGGTGGGTTGACTTCTGGCTCCTTCCAGCGGGCTGAAGGAGGATCTGATCCCAAATGAAGTTTCTGTGGTGATGACTGAGCCATCCTGAACTCCTTTCCTGGCTCTTAATGATTTTTTTTGGTGACTTTTCATCTGTCTGAGGACAAAATGTGACAGAGGTGATGTAACCTGGCAGTGAGTCTGTGCCACTGTTCCTGCTCCCCTTCCTTCTGTTGTCTCAAAACCAGGTGAGCCGATTCTGTTCCAGCTCTGAGGGAATTCACATCCAAGGCTGGGAAAACTCTCAGGAAGGTGTGGACAGGGAGCCTGAGCACACCCACTGCTGCTCAGGTGGCTTCTTCCTGCTGGTTTGGCTAACCAGGCCCACGCTGTCATTGTGCGTTCACAGGATGCTCCTGCTGTAGCAGGGAGACTCACCTAGGTAAGGCTGAAAGACCTTCATTCAACACACACTTCTGTGGTGCTGAAAAGGACACATTAAAGGCTTTCTTCTCACAAAATACTGGGCAGAGCAGCTAGAAGCTGCTGTGACCTTATTCCTCATGTTTCTTACACAGGTTCCTGCTCCTCCTGCAGACCCAAAACACACGTGGGTGCCAGCAGAAGCCACAGTCCAAACGTCTCAAGGTTAAGCTGGGCCCTCAGCTCGCTCCCCAAAATTAAAGCAGAGCAGCATGGTTCATCTAGGAGCTTGCACCTCCTCGGTGGCCTTAAGTGTCTCCTTCCCTGCTCTGATCTGCCTCAGTGCTCACAAGGATGTCTTTGCCACCAGGGGGGAACCTGAGAGCTTGTTGAAGAATGAACCTGAGGGCTGTGTCTATCCACCTTCCCAAAACAAGGGCCATCCAAGCTCCAGGAAACCATGGTATGAGTTGGGACAGCCCAGGAAGGAGAGAAGGGAGGACGTGGCAAGACAGGGGCAGGATGCAGGTCTGTCTCCAGCTGCTTTCTTGCTCTGCTAGGAACCACGGTGTGAGGTCACTAAAAACACACTCCTGAAGAGAGCTGCAAGAACACCTTAGACCCCATTTGCTGCTTTACTTGACCCACCCAGCTGACCCAAAATCCAAGGCACAAACAGCACACGTGGAGAAGTTGAAGCCTCAGGAACAGGAGGAGAAGAAGAAGTCCCAGCAGCTCACCTGCACTGTGGCACCCCAGAGAAACATTCTGCTTCCCTCCAGCCCCAGCCAAGCTCACTAGATACAAAGGGCAGCCCTCGAAGCAGGTCCACAGCTAAGGAAACTGAAGAAGGAAATATTCAACCACCGGTTCCTTTTTACAACTTAATGATTGTAGAAATAGCTCCCATTGCTGGGGAGATCTTTTAATGAGCTGTTACCAACCACTCAGCACCCTGCCAGTGTCGGGCTGTTGGGTTTTGCTGGTTCTTTTTTGTGTTACGAGCTGGGAGATAATGCCAAGATAAACCTTTGTGGGTTTCCTCCTTCCTTATATACATATCTCCACCCGAGCTGTGAAGTCAGAGGGGGGAAGCTGCTCTCACAGTACTGGCACGACACCCCAGCCCTTCCCCAGAGCTCCATTCTGATGAGAAACAGGGAGCACCCCAACGGTAGGAGACGGCAGAGACAACCCAAGCGGGATCCTGAAACGTTCACCCCAGCAGTTACAACATAATAATAATAATAATAATAAAAGGAGACCCCCCCTCCCTCCCCCCCAAAAAACTCTGCAGTCCTAAAGTGCAATTACTTTTGTGCAGTCATGTCAGGCCAGGGATCAGACTGGATGAAGTTCAAAGCACAAACATCAAACGAGTGCCGTTCGGGATTCGAGGAGGAGGAGGAGGAGGAGGGGGGGGAGTAAGGAAAAGAACAACAGTTCTCAGGCATTCAAGTGCATCAAGAAAATAAATGTCCCTTTCTTTTGGAAGGAAAAAAACAACCCCCAGTCGGGTGGAATCCTGGCTTGGTAGTCGTGAAAAATAAGGGTTTTTTTTATTTTCCACTTCTAGCTGAGAATGTCCCAACATGCCACAGTACAAATAAACCCCACCAGGACAAGCGTTGGGGTGCTGGGATATTTTCTGGGTGGTGCCCTGCTGCTGTACAGCCTGATTTTATTCTCCTCGGGTGACTCTTCAGCCCTGGGCAGGGAGGAAGCACATTGGATGAGGGGCATCTGGTAGGACGTGGCTCTTTTCTCCGGCCGGTCGGGGCTGGAGCCGTCGCTCGGTCTCTGCCCGTTGTAGAGCAGGTACCTGCCCCGGGCATCCTGCTCCATTTTGAAGATCTCATACTCGGTGTGGGGCAGGCGGATGCCCAGGGCCATGCAGCCGTTGGTGTGGGTGACGTCCTGCCTAACCCCCACCTGCCAGGAGCCCTGCGCCCCGCACTCGTTCCCGTTGAAGACGTTGAGCAGAGAGGCCGTGGATACGTCCATGGGGGTGACCTTCATGTGGTTGACTGCAAAAGAGGGAGAGAGGAGCTGTCAGCAGAGGGATGGAAACAAGGGAAAACGTCACCTGTGTTGGGGTTAAATCAGAATTAACTCTTCCTTGTTCAGTCTTAAAACAGTTTTTCACGTTACCCATCGACGCCGTTTTACGTCTCTGAGGTAATTGTTTCTATCTATCTCAGAACACACACAAACTCTGGAAGAAAACCTGCTGGCCACGTATCCCAGCCAGAGATTCAGCAGAGCTCTTCCTAAATTCCAGACAACCCTTTGCAGATAAAGCCTGGTTGGTTATATTAGGAGATAGATAAAAGAGGAAACAATAAAACTTTACTGATGGTTTGTTACCGTCTGCATTAATCCGTTAAGTAGGGCTGTTTAGAAGGCATTTTTCATCCCTTTTTAACATCTGTTACCCTGTAAAGCCAATGAAATCATTAGTTCCAATTGGGAAACTTGGCCAACCCCCTGGCTGAGCTTTCTTCCTCTATCACCTCTCCTTTTCTGCATGATTACAAAGTATTGCTGAGCTACAGGGAGATGTTTTTGCTCATATCTAACCAGCGGCTGCAGAACCACACGTAGAAGTGCTGCAGCTTCTGCAATCCCAAGATGCCTGTATATCAAAGGAGCTTCAGGCACAAAAAAGTTTCATTTTTCAGCCAATTCTTAAAATTTAGGAAAAGCCAAACTGACTGAGCCTATGGAAGGTGAAGAGATTTTTTCCTGGTGTGTGTTTGACGCCGTGTATCATAGAATCATGGAATGGGTTGGGTTGGAAGGGACCTTAAAGATCACCTAGTTCCAACCCCCTGCCTTGGGCAGGGACATCTGCAAGTAGACCAGGTTGCTCCAACCTGGTTTTGAACACTTCCAGTGATGGAGCATCCACAGCTTCCCTGGGCAGCCTGTTCCAGTGTCTCACCACCCTCACAGTGAAGAACTTCTTCCTAATTTCCAGTCTAAATCTCCCCTCTTCCAGTCTGAAGCCATCACCCCTTGTCCTCTCACTCCAAGCCCTTGGAAAATGTCCCTCCCCAGCTTTCTTGGAGGCCTCTTTGCAGTACAGGAGTGCCACAGTGAGGTCTCCCAGGGGGATCAGAATGGATCAGTGCTAACCAAAAACAGAAACAAAATTCCAAATTCTCTTGCAGGTCATTTTACAGCAAGATTTGCTGAGAGTTTTTTTTCCTGAGGTTTTATAAACAGATACTCAACAGCTCTACAATTCACATTATCTGTCCTTGCTGGTGTAAAAAGTCACCTAGAGAAAATGAACCTAAAAGTTTTACCAAAACCAAATGAGTGAACTTAAATCTGTGAGGGAAGTTGACATACCATAAAGCAGAAATTCAAGTAAAAACTGCATTTCACCCAGGAGATGAGATGGGACATGCTGTGTAAGGAGCAAAATCTCTGAATGGGCAAGGGCATCTCCTGCCTCCCATGAAAATCCCAGATCAGTAGATGAATTCTTGTAGTTAGATGCTTTCCTAAATCAAATTTACATCTACTCTTTGCTGTGGTGGGATCAGCCAGAAGCTGTCTTTAGGAACATCCTGACTTGCTCCAGGGAAGACAAACACTGCTGCTTCTTTTGGGTTTGCATGGCAAGGTTTTGGTAGCAGGGTGGCTTCTGGGAGAAGCTGCCAGAAGCTTTCCCTCTGTCAGGTGGAGCCAATGCAGCCAGCTCCAAGACAGACCCACCACTGGCCAAGGTTGAGCCCATCAGGGATGGTGGTAGCACCTCCAGGAAAACAGGTTTAATAAAAAGGGAACAAAACCCTGCAGCTAGAGAGAGGAGTGAGAATATATGAGAGAAACAACTCTGCAGACACCAAGGTCACTGAAGGAGGAGGGGGAAAAGGTGCTCCAGGTGCTGAAGCACAGATTCCCCTGCAGGCCATGGTGAAGACCACGGTGAGGCAAGTTGTCCCCCTGCAGCCCATGGAGGTCCACATGGTGGTCATCGCTGAGTGATCTTTCCCTGCCCTTATCTCCACCCAGGAGCCTTTTGTTGTATTTTCTCTCCCCTGTCCAGCTGAGGAGCAGGGTCACAGATCAGCTTTGGTGGACACCTGCCATCCACCCAGGGCCAACCCAACACTGTGTCTGTCTTTACCAGAGAATGATTTATAGCACTGATGACCCGAAATCCCTCCTGAAGGTGCTTTGTTCTCTCTGCTGAAGGAGCCCTGGGACGCAGATCTAACCTCAGACACTTTGCTTAGATTCTTGAAGTCTGGCTGCTGGACTCCAAGACTTGGTGACATGAACTCTTCCTTCCTTGTGCTGTCCTTGAAGACCCATGCCTCAAACGAGCTGACCTCAGTGGTGTGAAGCACCATCCAGCTGTGCCCTCTGCACTCGCACAACACCCGTGGACTCCCCAAGAAACACCTCCAGAAGATGACTGAAACCACCAGCCCCCACAGCGTGGTGCTGTCGGTCCATAACTACGTGACCACCTTCACCCCAGCGTTGGGGGGGGTTGTTGAGACCCATCCTACCTTTGAAGACAAACTCGGTGCCACCCATCACTCTGGCCGAGTGCACCCCCCGGCTGTAGCGCCCCTTGGCGTAGATGGTGAAGGTGGGGTGCTTGCAGATGGGGTCGGAGTAGTGGTAGTAGTGACCTTCCCAGGTGTTGTTGTTGTCGTGGAAGATGAAGTGCCTCGTGAGGAAGAGGACCTCCGGCCTCACCTCGCAGCGCTGGCTCACCCACTCCCCGTGCAGCCCGATGGTCAGGTCTGCTTTGGGGGGCAGGATTGGGGGGTGCTGCTCGTCCGACCGGTAGATGATCCTGCACGCGATGCACGTGCGGTCGTGGTTCTGGAACAAAGCACAGAGACACTCTCCTTGGCCATGGTCCTCAGGGTTAGATTGGACAGCAGGTAACACCTCTTCCACAAAAGGGTTGCCCAGGGCAGTGGTGGAGTCCCCACCCCTGGAGGGGTTTCCAAGCTGTGGAGATGTGGGGTGAGGGACACGGGGCAGTGGGGACCTGGCAGTGCTAGGGGAAGGGTTGGACTTGATCATCTTAAAGGTCTTTTCCAACCTAAATGATTCTGTGATTCTACACATGGTACAAGAGAATGAATCAGGCCATCTGTTTCATGAGGTGACACCAGCCCCACATTTTAAGGACTATGTTGTCCTGCAGATCCTCACCTTTCAGAGCACCTGGGACACAGCACCATGTGGGTCTGTGGATCAGACTGCACAGCAGTGAAGAGTTAATTCATCTGCATTTCTCTGAAATGAACATTTTAGTCCAGCTTTTATTTTAGAAAAGTCTCTAAGTTGATCCTTCAGACCATACTAGAAGCTGGCAGAGAGTAATTTACTGTGGTAGGGACTTGGCAGCTCTTGTGTGAGAAATGGGCACGTTTGCTGAGCTCTTAGTTTGCATCCACCTTCCTCTGAGTTGTTATCTTAGAAGCCTAGAATCATGAAGGTTGGAAAAGACCTCCAAGATCATCAAGTCCAACCATTAACCCAACACTGCCATGACCATTCAACCATGTCCCAGAGTGCCATGTCTACATGTATTTTTGGGTACCATAGATGGACATGGGTGTCCTAAGGACATTTCCCAGTTGGGCTGTAGCCTGGGAGAACAGCAACCAGTGATTTAAAACTCTTCCAGCTCTTCTGAGCCCTACACAAGCTTGGGGAGCATGATACAGGCATGGTGAAAGCTTTATGGTCCTCTCCAGTGGAACGGGGTCTGTGGTGTGTGCTGGGCTCCATGGTGGACCACCACTGTGGGCCAAGCACCAGGGTACCCCCAACCCCACCCGTGAGCCCTGGGGGTGTCTTATGAGGGGCTGGAGGCTCCGAGACCATGGCAGAAAGGGAGGGAATGTCATGCTGAGGCTTCCACCTCCTGATGGGAGAACTACAGAGACTTGCATGTTGTTCTTAGGGTGTTTCCATCTCTGCAAAGTTTTGTCTCGTTGGCCAAAGCCAAGTTATTGTCTTTTCAGACTGTAGTTTGCACTCTTCCACTGGCAAGAGAGGGCACAACATCACCATTGGTCTCTGCTCTGCTAAACCTTGAAGTTTTAGCTTGAAGTTTTAGCCTGAAGTTCAGCTCGCTTCATTTATGACAAAGAATGAGGTCAAGAAGAAGAAATGCTGCCCTGCAAGATAAAATCAGTGTTTTCTGGTTTGCTGCTGTCCCTTTTGGGTTGGAGATGTGTCATTTGTTTATATCTCATGAGGAGGTTTACATCATCTCATGTTTGTTTACATGAGTTTCTCTTCATGAGAAAAAACTTCTCTCCTGTGAGGGTGGCCGAGCTCTGGAGGAGCTGCCCAGAGAAGTTTTGGAGTCTCCTCTGGAGAGATCCCAAACCCTCCTGGCTGTGACCCTGGGCACCCTGCTGTGGGTGAGCTGCTGGAGCAGGGGGTGGGATGAGATGACCTCCAGAGGTCCTTTCCCAGCCCCAGATGACCTTTTAAGGTCACCCAGTCCAACCCCCCTGCACTGGGCAGGGACATCTGCAACTAGAGCAGGGTGCTCAGAGCTCTGGCCAACCTGACCTTGAGTGTTTCCAGGGGTGGGGCTTCTACCACCTGACCATAGGCTGCTTCAGAGAATCCACATCCAACTCCCACAACAGATCCCTTTTCCACCTATTAAATAGGGTTTATATTTGCCCCCACCCCTGACCAGGTGGACACCAAAAGCCAATGAAAGGCCCTTCCATCTGCTGGCAAAATTTAGCTGAAAAATGTGTCTTAAAATCAGCCAAGAAGCTCCACAATGGAAAATTCTGCATCCACTTCAGCAGCACACTGAGGTGGGGTTTCCAGAAGACCACGTGTTTTGGGGTGGAAAGACTCTCTGGAGGTCACCAGGTCCAACCTCCTGGCTGGCTCAGGCACCTCAGACAGCCACACCTTGGACACGACACTTCCCTGAGACCAGCTCTTGATTTTAAGGCCTTATAAACCTTTTTTTTTTTTAATATAATGCTATCTTTCAAAAAGTTCTGGACTTAGTGGATGAATATCCCACGTGGAAACTCCCCCATGATGATTCTTATCCACCTAATGGAGGAGGGAAAGATCTAATTTTGCCATCAAAAGGCATTTTGATTTCATTAGGAAGTAATTTTGGAGTCAATAAATAACTAAATAAATGACAGAGTAATATCAAGGGTTGGAACTAGAGGACCTTTAAGGTTCCTTCCAACCCTTCTAGGATCCCTTAATTCAGGTTTTAACAATTGACTTTAGTTTTTACTGTTGTTTTTTTTTAGGTCAGCTGCTCTTGGCTTTTACTGACACTAGCTGAGGCTTTGCAAATCACTCCCTTTCCCTGTGTCTCAGGGAAAGATTATTTTCTAAAAACAGACATTCAAAGAAAACAGAGAACAGAGGACATCTGAATCCAAACAGGATTAAATACTCTCTAATAAAAAGCTCATTTGGGCACGACATAAACTAAAGAGCAATAAAACGAGGAGTGGACACATCTGCTCTATGTTTGGATGATCTGAGGTGTACAATGCAGTATTTTTGAACAGTGGGGTCTTCCTGGAACAGTCCCCATGACTGGAAGATGCCTTCCCAAGAAGGATGTCTCCTTGCAGCTCCACAATACCCAATCCCTGGTGCCCCAACTCCTCATTCTCCTGGGTTTCCCTAAAGTCAGTTCCTGAATTAATCCACGAGGGCTGAAACAAGCCTGAACCTCTGGCTGGAAACTCAGTTCTTGTAGTCAGGGAGAAAATAGTTTGTGATCTGAACATTTCCACCAACATTTTCCTTCATCCTTCCCTCCCAGTGCCTCAGCTGAAGTGGTAACAGGGCCAGAGAGCTCGAGGAGCCAGGCAGGGGGGGTTTTCATAAAAAAATAAAGCAAACAAGGATGAGGTTCCTTGATCTTTTTCCCAGTTGCTGTGGAGAATCAGGCACATAAACCCTCTCAGCACAGTTTCATCTCCTCTTAATTTCTACAGCATTCTATGCCTGCCTAGGACTAATTTTCCTCTAATCAATTCATAGCATTTTTTACCCCCCAGGCCAAAAAACCATCACAGGAGTGGGATGCTCTCTGAGCAAAGGTGACATGAGTTTGTATAACACCTAGAAAGATCTTTTTGGAAGGTGTCCTGGTTTTCTTTTGAACACCTTTGTATCTCCATGCTGTTCTTACAGAATAAAGCATCTATGCATCAAACCCTTTCCAAAATGGACAGAAATTCTCCTTTTTTCCTGCTGGTTCAAGCAGGAGTTGAAATCAATGCTTAAATTGAGGAGAGGATCTGCAAGATGCATTTAGGGCCAAACCAAACAAGCACCAACAGTAAAGAGGAGGCTGAAAATACAGATTTTGGGTTTTCCAGCTGATCACCTTGTTCAAACATATTTGCTCTCTCCCTTATCTTTATTCTTAATATCTTGAAAATGTGTCTGTAATTTAATCTGAAAATTTTGAGGCACTATTTTTCTGAAACAGCTCAAATTGTAACTCAGCCTTTGATATTTGGCTGATATTTGGCTACTTACCTAATGGAAAATTAACATTATCTCTGCTATAATGTGTTTTTTTTTTTTCAGCAAGTTCTTAAGGAAGTTCTTTGCTAAATTTTAAGGAAGATTCATTTTTCATGACATTCTTATTTTAAAATACCTCATCGAGTTTGCACAGTCTGGAGGGAGAGAGATACAAAGCAAAATTCTGTTTTCTGGTATTTAATTTTTCCCTCAAAAGCAAATATTTCCCCTTCAAAAAAAATGAGAACAGCATTTTTAGGGGATTTTGGGATGATTGTAGTGGAGAATTTTGACCATTTTCTGACAGGCTCTCATGTTTATAGTTGAAAAGAGTGGGTATTTTACCAGACCAGACACATTAAGACAAAAGCTTAGAAGGTGGTGATGTGTAGTAAGGTCCTAAACTACCCAAAAGTTTGGCAACTCTTGGTATAGGAGGCCTGGTGTAGGGGCAGATGTGGGAGCACTGCTCTTCAGAGCTGACCTGGGCTGGAGAAAGGCAGCAGCCAGTTCTGAGGAACCCTGAACCTGATTAGTTTTCTGATGAGTTCAGTTTCCAACTACAAGGTCTTTAAACTCACCTGAAATGACACCATGGTTTCCCAAAGCCCTTTGGGAACTGGTTTCTGCTCTTTTTATCAGGAGCCACTGCACAGTGGACACATCCTTCCCACAGCATGACCTGGTTCAGAGGTTCAGGACTCCTCCTTGCTCTCCTCCTCCCACCCAGCAATACTGGTGTCAAACCAAAACCCAACCTGAACCTCTTAGCAGAGCTGAACACTGCTAAAGGCTGCCCAGAGAGGTGGCAGAAGCCTCATGCCTGGAACCATCCCAGGGGAGGTTGGATGGAGCTCTGAGCAACCTGCTCTGGTTGCAGATGTCCTGCAGATGTCCCTCCCTGTCACCCACACCACTGCCAGTTGAGCCTGGTCTCTCCTCAGGGGCTGCCACCACCCTGCCAACCTCCTCAGTTACAGTAATACCAGGCTGAAGTCACTTATTTCAAATTTCTGGAGCAATATCCTGCCTTATCAAGGTACTGACAATAATATTTCTACAGCACTCTGCTGTCTGAGCCCCATGTCTGTGCTGGTGGCTGTAGTGTTGGAAGCTTGTTTGGAAGAGACAGGTTCTCAGCTGATGTAAAACCACCTTTGCCCAGCCCTGGCTTGTGTTGGTTGGTGCTGTGTGGCAAGAAGCAGGTCTCAGAGTTGGGAAAGGAGGACAGGTTGCATCTATATGGTATCACAAGAAGCAAGAGCTAGCAAAAGCCCCAGCACCTCCTCCAGCTCCCTTCTTCACCCTCCCATCCCTGGAGA